AATCAAACTTTGGTGTTTCAACTGAGGTTTTTTTTCTTTGAGTAAAAACTTTGTTAACCAAAAAGTTCGTCAACTGAGGGGTTTGTTAACCATGCAGGGATCCACTGCATATGTACATGTGTGTGCGCGTTCGGTGGGTGTTTTTAAGGAGCTGGGATTGGCAATTATTTGACAATTTTTACTGTGCCAAATTAAGTGTATTTCTTTACAAGAGAAAAAAGAGTGAAATTTATGAAATTTGCTTTTCACGTTCTGGAAATCCTTTAAATTTTTTTGGAAGATGGAATTCATAATTCATCAAAGATGGATACTTTCCTGCTTTACAGCTGATGTTGTTCAAAGTTTACTGGCTTATCAGCAAAAAGTCATGAATGGCAGCATGGAGTGGAGAGCGATTAGAACATGGCTTGAATAATTCGTGCCCTTCATGCAGGAAGGGTTCGACTTTTGTACCCCTTTTGGGATCACATTTAGTAAAAGTGGGCAGGGTTTATTCCAGGTGTGATGAATAATAAAAAAAACTTTAAATCTTGATAGACCATTAAATAATTTATTTGGTTATTGTCACATGGTTTTCTTTTGTATCTTCCTGTATTCTCTGCAAATAGTTTTCATAAAAAAGGTGAGGTTCAAGTTTCATCTTATGTCCAATGTTATATTTGTGCAGCCTCAATGGTCATCAACAACAATACCATATGGAATTTACTTCACAAATGAAAGCAGCTGCTTTTGTTGTCAATCCCCCGCAAAAAGGCATGGTACAAAAGCACAAAGAGGAACACAAGAGTTGGTTTTTGTATTTCTTGTTTCTTAAAATATTCTTGCTTTGCTTGATTGTATTTCAAAAGCTCCCATCAATAAAAACATTATTCAAAATCCAGCTCATTTCAGGAATCATTTACAGTAAGACCCCAAGATGCGGACATAATTGGTGTATAAAGAGTGTCCCCAAGTCAAAATGTCCCTAAGTTGAGTCATGTTTTCCCATAGACTTGCATTATATAATTTTTAATTGGTGTTCTCTGGAAAGAAATATTGATCAAAATTCATTTTTAAAATTGAGGAAAAAATTCTACTGATGAAAAAATTATTAAATCAGTGTTTTTTCAACTCATGTATAAAATTTGTAGCATTGGGGACATAAAACATTCACAAAATGTACAATTTATGTGCTACTGCTCAATGTTAAGATCCATCAATTAAGCAAATGTCCTCTTCTCTTCCTTTCTTCTCCAGCTATGGTATCTTTTTTATTTCTTTTTTGAGTTGCACAGTTGGCACATCCTGATTATTCCAGATGTTTTTGTCTTAGAGGAAATCTTTCACTTTTTATCTAGCCTTCTTGAAATTAACTGATAAAACTTAGCTTTTTGTCAAGCAAAAAGTTGAGAATAATTTTTTTTCAACAGTTTCTTAGGAACATACAGGAAAAAAATGTCTAAGTAAAAATGCTGTACCTCTGTACACCATTGAACATTGAGATTTTAGCATTTCCTGTAAAAATGAAATTAGACAAAAAGAGAAGGAAATCCCTTTCTTTTTTGAGAATCTCTATGCTTAAGATAATTTTTAAAATTAGCTAAATCGAGGGGAAAATGATGACAGAATTTCAAAACAATTTTTGTCACATAGATCTTACCAACTTATGGTTCTGAATATCTGTTCCTAGTAATTTGGCTTGAATAATTTGACTTTTTGAAAATGTTGATGTCCGCTGGTCAAGTCAGTGTCCGCAGGTCAGGTCATTTTTAACTGTAAGGAAATTGTCCCTAAGTTGAATCGTCCGCAGGTCAAGGCGTCCGCATGTGGGGGTCTCACTGTAATAATGTTTTTATGGCCTGTTATGTTCTACGTTATCTTCTCAAGATGTTCTTATGTTAGTGGAAACATTTTAAAAATTGTCAAAATTTACATGTAGCATCACATACTTCTCCAGAAAATGGGATGAAAAAGTTTTCTCCACTTCATCAACATAAAGAAAATAATTGCACAGAAGAAAAAACTTTCCTAATCTGATCTTTTTGGATCAAAAGGAGCACAATAAGAAGCTAAGAAGAAAAACAAGTCATTGCATACTGATCACAGATGATGGAGAAAAAAAAAACCACCAAAAAATAGGTTATGATTGAAATGAGAGTACATTTATAATAAAAAAGAATTTTTATTTTTGTGAATACAAAGTACTGTAGCTCCCTTTGTTCAACAGACATTCAAATTCTGAAGAAATAAAATACTGAAAAAATGTTTTCTTCTCTAGACATATTGTCTGGATGGTGGGGCAGTTTGTTTGAGTGTGTCCCATAAGCAATAAGTGAAATCACCCATATTTCATCATTCCATCAATTTAGGGTTCATTATCATGGAGAGTACAGTTTGCTCATATCATTTGATCTCCCCTCTTGCAGCAGTAAGTTGAGATAAGTGTCTTCTGAAATCTGAGGAAAGTCCCTATATGCACTGCAGCAGCATGATATCCTTTGGCATGCATATATGAGACCACAATCTCTGAGATACTGCTGTGGGCGTCTGCATTATTGATGACAATATGAGGAAGAAGAAGGGCCAGAATGTATATATATATATATTAATATGAGGAAGCAGAGAAAAAGAAAAGAAGGAGCCATTCATCCACCATCAAGATTTTCTCTTAGCACCAGCAGCAGCAGCAGCAGCCGGGCTCTGTGCTGCTGCCCTGCTATCGCATCTATTCCTGTATATATACTTATATATATATTTATATACTATTGGCTTATCGCGATGGAGCAGACTGCGTGGCCCAGCCTGATAAGCTATCTCTGGCCCTGCTGCTGCTGCCTTTGCCTATGCCTGCCTGTTCCTGATTCTGCTGCTGCAGCTACGCTATCTCCTCTGCTGCTGGCCAGGTTTCTCGCCTTGTGTGCTGGCCTTATCTGCTCACACTCTTTCTCTCTTATTCCTCACTCTCTCAAATTGCCCCTCTTTCCCTCTTTCTTTCATGCTCTTGTACACAAAGTCCTGTCCCAGTCATCACTGTTGTTGAGACCTGCCTTTGTGGAGCTGATTCTCTTTCTTTTCTTATATCTCTGTCTCTCTCTCTCTTTCTCTCTTACCAGTTTAGCACTGACCACACAAACAGACTCTGCTGCAACAAGTGCTGCTGGGCTGCATTCTTGAATGAAGGAATGAACATCTCTTGTTGGAAAATGATAGGGAAACATGAGTGGCCAATCTTTCTTGTTTTTATTTTGTATATAGATGCATGTGGGGATGAGAGGCAGCAGCAAAGAAAGAACTTTAAACTCTGTAAATTTATGAAATGAGATGAAAGTCAGCAGAGAAAGTGCTGTGATACAGTGCAGGCAACCCATGCACAAGAGACCTCGTGCACAGCAGATTTTTGCACAATGGACTGCCTCTGAATGAGGCAGTTTACCCTCCTGCACAGTGGACTAAATCTGCATAACAGACTTCTGTTGGTGAAAAATTACTGGGGAAAAGTTAAACATGTTGAATGTATTAATAATTTGATTTGCCATCACACATTTTTATTGCACCAGACTAGGCTGTACCACAAATGAAGTCCATTGTGTGGGGGTTGACTGTATATCCTGCTTGTTCAAAACTATAATCTCTGTCTTTATTGGGGATCGCAGTGATATGATTTTGATACAGTTTCAAAGGAAATGATGAAGCAGCAGTATATATTCAAAAAATCAAGTAGAATACTTCATATTTGCAACACATGTCACACACCTATTCTCCACTTTTACTCCCTTGTCTAAGAGAGGATTGCCTTCTAAGTCAGTGTTCTCCTGCTGCAACCTTATGTTATGCCCATGAACCAGCAAATTTCCATAAAATGTTTTGCCAACTGGTAGAGCTTCATGAAATTCGTACAGACTAAGCAAAGTTTTGTTTGAAAGACTGACTGGCGGGCATTTGACAAATTTCTGTTTATTTCAAAGAGTAGGATAAAAATCATCGCAGCAGCTATAGTGTGATGTCTTAATAATTTTGAAAGTTGGGCTGAAAGAAAGGTTTTCAAGACAGAAAAGTTGAAATTTTTTTTTCATGAGATGGAAATTGCCTCAAGTGTTATCAGCAGAAAAGCCAAATTTCCATGTTTCATTGGGTAATTTCAACTGAAATTGTCTTTAAAAATTTCAGATGAAGGTAAAAAAAACTTGATTGCTAATTTTTATGGATTTACAGTATCATGCTGACAAAACTGTCCCATGGACAAGCAAAAAACTTCTGTGAACCATCACTGCTTGTCCACAGACCAACATGAGTTGTAGAACACTGCTCTGAATAATACTTCAATAATACTTGTATCATAACTGTTCACTAATGGTTCAAAAATTACTAAACAGTTAATTTAGTAATTACTATGTTTACTAACAATAAGTATGAGAATACTTGTGAAATCCTTCTGTTTACAATCTGGATTCTGATGCATCATTCCATCACAAACTGAATTTCGAAATTCTAGAAGCACGGGCTGAGATTTTTCTTCATTCTCTTTTCCATCAATGGGCTGATATTTTAGTAGCTCTGACTTATTTACCAAGCTGATAAATAATAAAATGGGAGAATATCTTCCTCTTTTTTTTTCTTGGATCAAAATTGCATCTCTGTAACACATGCATCTTTTGGAGCACAGAAAATAAGGTGTACCAAATGTTGAAACAACTCACCTCATCATTATACTGTATAGACATATGCATCATTGCTGATCTTGCATATATGATTGCTCCATCATGTTGTTCCTGTCTACATATTTAGGAAAAAATCAAACTGATCCATTGAAAAAGAGACTCAAAAATCAAGACATGATCAGGCAGTTCAATCAGTCCAGTCTTTATAATCAAAGCTGTGATGCTGCATGTGTATGATATGCTGGTAAAAAAAGCACACATACACACACATGCAATCAAGCACCACAGATGTTATGCATAACTAATGATAATAATAATAATATAATTTTAAAAATCATACATAAACAGTTTTCATCCCTTCCTTGCATTAACAAAAGAAAACCATTGGAATGCAAGGACAGTTATTGAAAAATAACACAAATCAATCATCAATAGGCAGGAGAGAAACCCACAAAAAATTGCAGAAAGTGAGGCATTTTTCATTGGCAATGACTGGGAACACAATTTTGCTGGTGGTTCCCCAGGTGTATTTAAATTTTCAATCTTGAATACTGACAAAAAAACAGGTCTCAGTCAAAGTTTTTTGAGACTTTGAATTGTTATTGATGTTATTCCTTATTATCAAGCTCTGATGATGATGATGGTGATGATGAGTTGCTGCCAGTTGTTGTTATTGTGACACAACCAGACTTTTTGTGCTCAACCAGGGCTGACAAATGTGGCAAAGGCACATGGCAGTTTTTACACATTCTTAGTGTCTTATTACTCCTGTGTTTCTTGGTGTGGAACAGCAACTGGTCTTGACTAGAACCTTCTTCTTCTTCTTCTTCTACCTCCTCCTCATTGTGGACTGGTGATGCTTTGTGTCTAAGCTGCTGCCGCTGCCTGAGAAGAAGCATCATGAGGCGTTTTTGATGGTGGTCTTTTTCTTCTTTGTCTTTTTCTTTGATGATGCGAAAAGGTATTGAAGAAGAAGACTGGAATGACTCTTGATCATCATCATCATCATCATCATCACCATAAGCATCATCAGGGTTGAGTTGGCAGTCATTCATGTTGGAAACACAATTATGATGGTCTTCTTTTTGGTCCTGGTCTTCTTCTTCTTCTTCTTCTTCTTCATCAGGGCCTGCAAGAATGTGAGCAATGATGGTCTCCTCTGACACATCTTGCTGCTTGCTTTTGTTGTCTGCAAAGTGCATGCGAATGTGGTTCCTCATCCCTCTCAAGGTGTTGCCCTTGTAACCACACAACCGACACCTGCAAGTTTATTTTTAAAAAGTTCAGACAAAGAAGGATACATCATCAAGTTTTCAATTTTTCTTAAATATTCTTCTGACTTTATTTTGAACCTGGATAAGAACCATAGCAGCAGGAGTGGACAGGTGTGCACCTGTTAAATGCACCCGGCAAATGTCACAGATTCTTAATTTGATATACTTTATATTTAAAAAAAACAGATTCACTGTGGCTTCCATTCTCAGAAGGATGCCACTACTTGCAAAAATCTTAGTCTCAAATGAATCTTGAAAGAAAGAGGGGGAGACACAATTTGGCTTAACTACTTTATGATAATTCATACATGACTTCTGCAATGTCAGAAGCATTTTTGTAAGACTTTTTTGAAAATTTTTGAAAGTGAATCTCCTAAATTTAAAATTCAAGTGTAAGGAAAACAAAATTGTATTTTGTTTATACATAAAAATATAGAAATCAAATACCTGATGACTTTTTTAAAAGCTTACATTTGTTGTTGAGCAGTAATAGAGCCCAACAGTAAAAGTAAGAATGACAAAGTTAAAGCAGTACAAAAAAGGCAATCAGTAAGTCTGCAGCCAAGAAAATATATTGAAGGGAAACACTTTTAATAAATATGCTCCCATAGCTTTATTTTCATAAAAGTGTATTATGTAATTTGATGATAAAATTCAGAAGGGCCGCAGATAACACACCAAAAGTAAGTAAAGAGCAAAACCTGTGCACAAATGAAAATCTGAACATAGATATAACATATGTAAAGATTAAAGTTTTTCAATAGAAATTAAAATTCATTGAGGAGGAAATACCTTCTATGGATGTTCCTTGGCAGTGCATTCTTTCCACATCAACATTCTTGATTTACTGTTTGGATGTTTTGAAAGGAATATAGCAAAATATTTTTAAAATCCTTGAGGTAGGAAACTTGATGACTGCTGTGTTTGAGCCAAAAATTACTTCATTTTATGTTTATTTGTGCACAAAAAATTTGTTTTTCAAAGTGGGGGGGGGTGGCAAAATAAATCAGGGGTTGCCTTTAGTATGTACAGTGCTGTACTTCTAAGGAAAGCCAACTGTAAACTTCTTGTGTGGAGCAGCACTCACGTGAATGCCTGCAGGCCACCATGGCCCTCCAGATGGCACTGTGCCACTGGCACTGATGTTGTGACAAAGGCACAGCATGGACACCTCCACAGCCTTTGAAGCCCAGCACCAGCACCAGCAGTCCCTTCAACAGTGGTACCACTACCAGTTGGACTTGGACTCCCATGTTTGTGGTTTCCATTCCTGACAAGAGGTGCTGATGATGATGGCACCAGGAGGAGGTGGTGGTGGTGGTGCTGCTGCTGCTGCTGCAGCTTATTGGAGCAATAGTAACTCTGGTGGGCTCTGAGGTTCTTGGGTGATGAAAACCTGGTTCCACATGCGCCACATGTGTACATGCCACATGTCTGTTGTTGCTGCAGCACCACCTGCTTGCCCCCACCAGCTGCACCACCCACATCAGCTGTAATACTACTTTCACCACCGCCTCTGGAGGCACAGTAGTGCTCCTTGTGCACCAAATAATTCTCGCGCTTGTAGAACACAATGTTACATGCACTGCACTTGGACACACCCTTCTTGGTCACATAGGACCGCAGGGAGGCGGTGCCCGAATCAGTGTGGGTGCTGTCGGTGGTGGTAATCAATGAGACCACAGTATCATCAGCAGAAGAAGGAGACTCTCCAGTAAGTTGTGATGATGGTTGCGGTTGTGGGAGAGAAGAACCATGTGCCAGAGGTTTGGACAAGTCCAAGGGACCAGCAGCACCATCGCCACACTCCTCCACAACACCACCATCCTGCTTCACCACCATGACCATTCTCCTTGCTGGTTGCTGATGTGTTTCTCTATTGTGGTGGTGGTGGTGGTGTGAGAATGGCGCCTTATTTTCCTCAAGCTCAGCAGCTGATGGCTCCACAACCTCATCATCAATACTGTGGTCACCACTCCCTCCTGAGGCTCTTATAATTGTTGCTGGCCTTTTTCTCACTCTTGAAGAGTTGTTACTCATGGTGGTGCTGCTGTTGTTTGCGGTGGTTGTGGTGAGGGTGCCATCAGGTCCCACAGTGATGCTCCCTGGTGGTACCACACCCACAGGGATGTACCTGGCACACTGGAGAACCTGGTATGGGATGACCAGCAGTGGGTTTGTAGGCAGTACCACACACAGGGATGCATCTGAGGCTGCAGCAGCAGCTGCTGCCAACAAAGTGGCAGTGGCAGGATGGAAACCAGCACCACCACCACCTGGGACCACCTCATCCTCCAGTTGGTGCACACCACCACCACCACCTTGGCAGTAGTGTTTGCGGTGGACCTGGTAAGTGCTTGCTGATGAGAACTGGATACCACAATCACGGCAATAACTATTATTGCTACCACAGCTATTGGAATTATTGTTGGTCCTGTGACCAGCAGTGACCACCTGCTGCTGGTGGTGCTGCTGCTGTTGGTGATGGTGGAGCACGGCCAGTGACTCACTCAACACCAGTCCTGGCAGTAGAGGCAAAGGAAGCTGCACCTGTGACTGTGGTGGTTGTGGCACCAAAGTGGAAGTGACACCATCCAGCATGAGGTCAGCATGTGGTGGTGGTGGTGGTGGTGCTTTGGTGATGGTACTTCCTTTGCTATTGCTGCTGCTGCCTAAACGCAGTCTTGTGGTGGTCAGGATTTGATTTGCAGCTGCTCTTCTGCTGCTGGTGAGAGCTGAAGGTAGTGGTGGTGGTGGTGGTGAGATGACCACTGGTGGTGCTGTGGTGTCAGAGTCTGGACTAGCATTGGCACTACCATCTGGTCTTGGCAGTGGGGCCTTATTGTGGATGGTGCTGCTGTGATGGTGCATCCGTTGTCTCTTGTTGCTGTTGGTGGTGGTGGTGGTTGCCAAGCACTTATTCACCTCTCTGATGGTTGCTGGTGTTTCTCCATCCTCTGGAACAGAATAAAGACAAACAAAAAAGGCAGATAAAATCTAAGATTTCAGGCCAGTAAAAGCACAGCAACTGATTCCATGAGCATTTATTTAAAGTTCCCTCACAGCTCTATTTGATTGAAGTTACACTATGACTTTATATTTGTTTTCTTGACAAGGATTTAAAATCAGTTGGTTGTCACAGATCTGCGCACCTTATTGGCACATGATTTTGCAAGAAGTCAATCACACAGCATTACTCTATTTGGATTAAAGTATTGCTATTGCTTGTTTCAACATTTTAAGGTACTTGAGAACTTGAGAAGGTATAAAAGCACTACCAGCATACCAGCAATAATTTCTCATGTGCATGAAAAATGTAGAAATTGCATACATTTGTATGTGATCCTTGATAGAAAAAAGCACTATAATTCCTTCTGCATCTATGTAAGATTGATTGACAAGTCTGTGAAGTTATGAAAAAAATAACCTGAATTGATAATTTTTGAGCTCAAAAGCCCACAAAAATGGGACAAAAGAATGTGGCTGTATTCCAATGACCCTATGCATTAAAAAAGAGGATTCCTTTTAGATTACCAAAGATTACCTGAAATTTCAAAGAAATTTCCTAGACATGATTTTTTGCAACAACACTCCAAAAGGAGACTGCTATTAATAATGTACTTACACTTTGCAGTATAGAATCTTTTTACAACAACACCATTGAGACCAGTAAAATACCTTCAGTCATAACAAAATTGTGCCATAAAGCACTGCAACTAATGGGGGAGGACCTAAACAACGTCTTTTTTTAGGCAATCATTCATTATAGAGAGATTCTACTCTACATTATATATATTCAGTTCGCTGTTATCATTTTTATAATCACATGAACTTTTTACAGGTACTTTCTGGTGTACTGTAAATGCATTAATAATGTTTTTTCTCTTGAAATGAAACAAGACATTCAACATTAAAATTGAGTTGGAGAGAGAACAAGTTGACTTTTTATGTTGATTCTCATCCAAACCATTCAACAGGTGGCTCTCACCTATTTGCATACTTAAGGAGACATGAAGACAGGTATAACATTTTACTTGACAGCTAATTACAGTCTGAAATGAATTAAGTTAATCAGTGAACCAAACATGCCATTCAATTTGTCTATGTAAAGCTATTTATAGAACCATATTGTAGACAAAGAAGAATGGAAACATACCAATCCTAGCAGAGCAATAGTAGGTTTGATGGGCTTCCAGGGTCCCAGGGCTGCTGAAGCGAATCCCACAGGGTTGGCAAACAAAGCCTGATGATGAAAAATATGGGTGAAGAAGAATAAAATGAAAAAACCGTGGTATATTCATAGTAGTCATTTTGGAAATATATTTATGAATGTCAGGGATACAAGGGGAGAAACCTGTGGACTGCATGAGTAGAGTTGACCCAAAGTTTCTGCAGTTGCTGATGTTGCTGAGTGTGTCTATTCCTACACTTAATACAGTTGTTACCAATGTCAGGGAATGAAATGGGTGTATGCATCCATGTCAGATGTCCAGGTGTAATTCACATTGCATTTCATGTTGTCTTGTATTTTCTTTTATTTTTGTTATCAATTTGTGCTTTCCTGCTCTGAAGTGATTAAAATGTCATTCAGTGGATTTGGATTGGGTGGGAAGGGGGTTTGGTTGTGGAAATCTTGATCGAACCTTGTGAATGCTGAAACAGATGAAAAAAATGCACTGGGAGAGAGTTTATGAATGAATTAATGGAAAGTTCTGAAAACTTGCCTCATTTACTCCCAATTTAGGATAATAAATGCAAGAACCTACGCCGATGATGACGCAGACCATTTTCATCAGTTCATAGCCAAGATGCTTCTCAGCTGGACCCAATAAAACAATCCGCCGCGAGTAATTCCAATTGACTTAGTTTCGTTTCTTTCCTTGAAATGTTGTTTCACTGCAGGGAATTCGTGCAGCATTTCAATTTTGGCGGTCCATTTGAGTCTAGCCAGTGACGTGAACGTGTTTATGAGCTTAGATTACTCAAACGCGGCCCGAAAAATAAAGTGGGATGACTCCCAGGGCGTAATTGCGCATGTTGCTGCAGCGCGAAATCAGAAACACGGTCGTAAAACGAGGCATTGAGTTTCGGGTTCCGGCAGTTTGACCTTTAGAGGTTCCAGGGTTCCATGCCTGGGGTCGTTCGGGATTGTGCTCCAGTGCCCCGCAGATAGCTCCCTGCTGGAATACGTGATGGGGAAGTAATGAAATGGGTGTAGGAGAAAATTCCACATAGGTCCAAACATCTGGCAGGGTATGGAAATCCTGTAAAGTACTATAAATCGATTTTAAAAATTACACAGTTAATACTCCAGGCCAACGCAAAGATTAAAGCTCCAAATGAAGGCTACATCTTCTTTGAGCTTTTGAGAAGCGTGATCCAATAATCTCAAACTGGTTCAAAAGGAAACCCCAAAAACATTTTCACAATTTTGAATTTGAAATTTTTCAGTTCCCCAAGAGATTTATGCATTTGGCTTTTCATTTACACAGCTGAGCCTTGATGACTCAAAGGCTTTCCCACTCAAACTTTCATAACATTAAGCCTAAGAGGATTATGCTCAAGCAATTTAATAAAGCAGGTTTACATCTTGAGAATTTTTTCAGGAAGTGTGGTGCAGATTTAATTCATAGCATCTAATTGTGTTCTGCTGGAAATGTCCTCCAAAATTAGTTTTCACCTAAATTTATTTATACATTTTTGGGCTTGAAGATTTAATACACTATGTCTAAGGGGGTTTTTGCTGATGAAGTCATCAAAAACTGGCATTTCTCTCATTTCTGTGGATAAAGTATGTATTGGAGATCTTTTACATAAATTCTATAGGGATTATACCAAAATAGAATTCAGAAATTGAAAAAAACCAGTTTTTGGAGAATTTTTGATTAAAAATTTGTTTTTGTGCTACAAATTTTGTTTGCAGTACAAAGGTAGAAAATCATAGTAAAAACGTTCATTGTTTGACGTTAATCTCTTATTGTTATTTTTTTTGTAAAAAATTGCAAATTCTGCAAAAATGTTGTGGCTGGGCGTGCAGCAGGAGTTCATGATAAAATGTAAATAAAATCTTACTGAATTGACCCCATTTACTTCTGGGCAATTCAGCAGGAAAGCAGAAGTTTTGTAAATCTGGGGTTAGCTGGCCCGGATTGCTGAAAAAAGTGGTGCTTTTCATTCACCAACAGCTGAAGAGGGGTTTGCATGGTTTTCATCCTGTTTGATTTTCCATAGGCCTAGCCGCAAACCTCCCAATTCAAATTTGCTTGCTGGTCCCTTGAAATTTTACTTGGAGAGGTTGGACAGTACTTATTTGTAATACAGGTGAACCTTGATAACTCAACCTCCCTAAGTCACATACCCCCCTAAATCAATTTTTTTCATATCCCCATCTGAATCCCCTTTGAAACATTAGATTAAAAACCTTCCTAAGTTGAAAGCCCTTCCCTCAAACCTTCATAAGTCAAATTTTCTGTGGCGTGTAGGCCATTATTTTCTTCTCCCAAGGAAGAAAAAAGCAATACAAACAGAAATGTATGGGTTTTAAAGGAAGTGGAAGACTTATTTGGGCTAATGAACCCCTGGCTCCAAGTTCAGCAGCCCTTTCAACTCATTTAAGAAGCCTTTTAAGCACCCAAATATCACTGTTTACATTTTTCTAAGTTTCAACCTGTAAAATTCTAAACCTCTCCAAGTCCAATTTTTTTTTTTGCAGGTCCCTTGAAATTTGACTTAGAGAGGTTCAACTGTACTGTAGTTCAGAATTTGCCTACACACCATGGCCTACTTAAATTGCCAAAAGAGGCTCTTGTAGATGCATGAAGCTCATGTTGCAGGAATTTTTGTACCCAGCAAACATTTACCCCATCTGGAGGGAAAATGGTCTCATGGAGCCAATGAGTTGTACATCAACAGACTGAGGCGGGAAACCAGGATCCAATATCGGACGGGGGAATCTGGTGGAAGTATCTACAGTACGTGCCAGGTTTACTGCGCCGGGGATTTGAGACGCAGTCCGTCGGGTTGTTTTGCTCGGGCGAAAGAAGAAAAAGATCGGGTCCCTCGTTAGCCCCGGGAAAAGCGCGCGAGGCATCTCATCTGCTGACTAGTTGGATCGGCTTCCCTAATTACCGGACTAACGCCCCGCTCCAGGTGGTCAGCTGGGCTTGATGATCGACAGATGAATGGAACTGGGGCGAGACGTCTCCTCGGGATCGGTTCGATGACATGCATTGTTGGGGCCCACGCTGCCGACGCGGGACTGCGATACGGTGTACGGTTTCTTTTTCGTGTGCGTGTGTTTTTTTTTTAATTTTCTTTTTGATGTGACGAAACGCTTCATGCCTCAGGATTCCGGAATTCTCATGTACAGTGTCGAAAGGTGACGTCGGTCTCATTTTCGGCTTCCTGGGGCATGAGGCAATTCTTTGGATGCTGAGCATGCTGCAGAGTTCCTGCATGACAAAACTAATCCCGGTTTATCCAGTTGAACCTGGACAACTATGACCTCCTTGAGTTGAATACCTCCCTGTTCAACTTTTTTCAAGTCCCTGTCTGAATCCACTTACAAACAAGTCATTTAAAACCTCCATAATTGGAGGCTTTTCCTCTAAAACCTCAGCAATTCAAATTTTGGGAGGCCTTTTGGTTGTCATTCTCTTGACCCAAGAAAGAGAAAAGTGATATTAGAGGTAACTTGATGTGTTTTGAAAGGAATTGAAAGACTCATTGGGAAAATGCACCCCTGCCTCCAAGTTCAGCATCCTGTTAACTCATCAAAGAAGTAAGTTAAGGCCCAGAATATCACAATTTACAATTTCCAGCAATGCTTCTGTGTTCTGCACCACAAACATGCTTGTTTACCTAACTGGAAACCTTGGTATGTTGAATATTTTTGCTGGTTCCTACAAGTTTGATAGGTTAGTACCATACTTACTTTAGTACCACCTGCACCACTTTTCCTTGAAATGGAGTGGAAGGGGGGGGGGGGTGCGCATCATAAATGGTTTTACTGTACATTTTTGAAAATGTTCCAGGAGTTTAGGGGTGAATTATACAGGTGGATTTTTTGTAACAAAATTCATTGGACCAGTCAGTTTAGTTTTAGAGAGTGCCTATAACATGGAGAGAGAACCCTGTGGGACCATACACAATTTGTTGTGAAGAGAAAGTTGTTGTACAGAGAGTCCACCCGTATTTAGTTTGAATGAGAACAGAAAAAGGTATTGTAAGGGATCTAACTGAACATTGGTAGATTTCATGACCACTCATGTCTAAAATTCATTTTTGTGGGATTCTTTTTCTTTTAATATTACTGTTTTACAGCTACTGTATTTACTCAAGTACCACGCATCCTTGAGTAAGGTGTGCACAAGGGTTTTTCAGTTGGAAATTTGGCTAAAATCTTATCCACCAGTAAGACACGCACCCCAATTTTTAGTGAATCTAAAACCACACAATTTGGAAAATAAATAAAAATTTGATTTTAGGCATGAATGGAACAAAAATCTGATCAATTTTCAACTTTATCAGTACAAAAAAGTTTATTGGTAAAATTTTTCCAAATTTCTCAATCATAGTTAAGTATAATGCACACAACTTCTTAAAAAGTCTTTAAAAATGTGTACCTGCTTATGATGCACACCCCTTTTTTTCTTCTGAAATTTGAGAAAAAAGGTGCACGTGGTACTCAAGTAAATACGGTACTATAATTGGGGCGTGTGTCTTACTTTGGGGTACAATTAGATAAAACAATTTGATTGAAAAATACTAGTGCACATCTTGCTTGAGAGCATCACTTGGTACCTGATAAAAAGCAGCTTTTTGTTGCAACTCCCATACAATTGCATTGTAAGTGATTTAATTCTTTTCAGAAACTCACTAAAAGACCATAAAGAACCACAAAATTTGTATATACAGTACTGTATATCTGTATAAAATTAGGAATTGAATTCCGAATCAAATTCAATGGTGATTCTTTTGTGTCATGCAAATAATTTCATAAGTAAAATGAAAAATGCTGAAAAACATTTTGAAAGTAGAAATGCTTCTAATTTTAAAAAATTGCATTCAAGATTATGTACCCAAGTGTGATGAGCACCTCATGGTATACCCAAATTTATTGGAGAGAAGGCAGTTGTTTTCTGTATCTTGAAGTTGGGGGAAAAAGGTTTTTTAAGTTTTTGTGGACTTCTTCCTAATTTTTGATGAACAGAAGAACCATTCGAATATTGCAATTGCATTGGGAGTCTATGATAAATGAGATCCAACCTGTGGACAATCTGACATAGGGACAAGGTCCAAACACAATCACGTTCACATTTCGGGTTCCCACTGCAATGTACTGAATAGCTGACGAAAACCCTCTCTGTCACCCCGGAAAGAGGTTGAATAGCCTCACCAGGAGTGAATGCCATGAGGAAAAACATTTGTGGAGGGTCGGGCGAGATTTGCCTTGTCCTAAAACGTGCGGCTGTTGGCTCCTTAAACATCAGCTAGGCCAGGCCAGTATTTTCAGCGTTTTCTTGCTCGGGTCGGTGAAATATGCCACGTTTTTCAGCGTGTGCTTTTCGTTGCGTGGGAGACGAAAAAAGGCCAACAAGTCCGAGGGGGGCGTATGGGAGCTAAATGCGTGTTACTGCGTTTCAGGCGCGAGACCGGAACCCATCGGCGAACGGGTATGCGTCATATGTTCAGGAATGCAGGAAAACATTTGACATGAAAAAAAGCTTTGTCGGTGGTGAGAATTAACTAACTGGATTTCTCAGTCTTTAGGGGCAAACTTTTTTTACAATACAGTATTGCAGAGTACTATAAATTGTCCATCAGTTATCAAATTAAACATTTTTATAGCAAAAGCCAGTTCAAGTTTTTTCTTGTTCATCCGGAAAAATCAAAAATTTTAACGCCAAACCGGAAAAGAATTTTTGATCCTCACAACAAAATTTTTGCCGAACAGAAGAAACCCTGTTCGGCCATGCGGTGACCCAGTGTATTCCAAAGCCATCATTTGAAGGGAAGAAATCGCCTGGACTAGCAATCTGGGAAAAGCTGATGGGTGATCAGTCATTGACGGGATTTGGAAGATCACACAGTCGTGGATGATGCATCGACGTTGTCGAAGAAGCGAAAATCACTCGAATTCTTCCGGAACGAGGTCAGCTGGTTTTCTTTCTCCTCCGAGTACGAAAAACGCCACGAACCCGTCGCACGCATCGAATAGGAATTCGGATCAAGATTGAACCCAGTTCGGGTGGGTTTTTTTCTTTTTCGAACCCTCGGGTGAAGCGGTTGCGAGAAACCGTCCAACCCAACGAACGAGACGGAACAATTTCAAGAATCTCCGCGCTGCTGCTGCTTGAAGGAACCCAGGGGCCCAGGAATGTTGATCGCTCAACTTCCAGCGAGTCTCGGAAGCTCCCCGGGTTCTCCGCTGTTGAGCTCGTTTGCTAGACGTGATACGCGTCGTTGATTCCACGCATATGGCGGGAATCAAACCCACGTTCGGCGGGTTCCCCGACCCGACCCCGACCCGACACGCACAGGCACACGCTTCTTTCCTGAGATTTCATTCCTCGTGTGTCCCACGCACTCGACGCCTCGTCCCGAACCCGACGCCGGGAACTTTCAACAGCCGCGAACCGGATATTGCGCCGCTTCCGCTCCATTCTTCACGACCGCCGCCGGGTTTCAGCCGCCTCGCTACTACATGGGATCGAAGGGAGCCGCTGGAGCGGTGGGCTTCTTTGAGGAATTTCCGTCGTGAGAAGAGCCTTTGAGACGACGATCTACTGATGGCTCGCTGGCTTCTCCTGCTGACGCGAGCACATGAATTACATTCGAGGTTTTTTTTTATGGGACAGGTCCACGAGGTTTGATGGTTTTGCGCCTTGGATAGACGTGAGCAGAGAACTGTTGAACATGGAAAAGCAGCCAGGCTGTGACTAGGAATGTATTGTACTGTACTTGCGGCATGGTAACATATCTCATCACAGGGAAGCCCTCCAGACCTGTTTTATAATGAGAGTTGAATAACATTGGGTTGAGTAAAATCTCATTACAGCAATTTTTTCAATATACAGTAACACATTTTTTCTCAATTTGTTTGAACAATCTACAGGTACTGTACAGTGAGACCCCAAGATGCGGACATTATTGGTGCATCAAGAGTGTCCCCAAGTCAAGTCTCATTTTCCCTTAGAACTTACATTATATAATTTTTAATTGGTGTTTTATGTACAAAATACCCACCATAATTCCATGAAAATAAAAATTTTATCCCAATTTAAACTGATTTGAATCAATATATTTCAACACAACATGGACATTTGGGAAATTGTCGAGTTTTTTTTTAAAAAGGCGATACAGCTTCAACTATCCAAGACATCTTCATGTTTTAAACATTGGCCAATATTCCTTCGTTTCTCAAATAAATCGCAAAAAATATTTCTGAATTGATTATACTGTCTGAAATGTATTTGCAATTTTATAACAAAATGTCCCTATGTTGAGTCAGTGTCCTCATGTTGGGCCATTTTTAGTAATTTTTTAATAGAAAATAAGTGTCCCTATATCAAATTGTCTGCAGGTTGAGGTGTCCGCATGTCGGGGTCTCACTGCACTTGTAACAGACTTCCCAATCCCAGCATGACACACATTTTTGTGAAAAAGTTTGATAGATTTCTCCAGGTAGAAATTTCCTGACTGAGGCAGGCATAGTCTGAAATTTTGAATCCCAAATGTGACTGACTGGTTCTTGTGGCATGGATGGAAGCTGCAATCAAGGAAAAAAATGCTTCCCAGTGGTTCCACACATTATCCTTCCAGAATGAAGAGATTGGCACAACCTGTGGAATGTGTGATTGCAGCTACAATATTTTCTTTTTCAAAAGATCACACACTTTCTCAAGTAAGGATAAAAATTCCAAGAATGCCAGAAAAGCAAGAAATAATTGATTATAGGCAGGTCAGACGTAAAAATTGTTTCCTATCATTCATTTTTAAAATATTTTCATATTCCTTGGAAGTTTGATGTTTTTTTTTATTAAAGAAGCAAAGTTTTATTATGAACAACAAGAATCATTGATGATCTCACCTAGAATTCGAAGCAGAACAATACAGGAACTCCAGTGTTTACCGATGTCACTAATGATCACCAGGAAATTTGAGTTGAAGCTATACCATATGAAACCAGAAAAAGTTCGGAAACCGAATCCACCTTCCGTTGATTTAGT